ACTTCAGACAAATTCAAGTGATATTTCTAACAGCTCTCTCAATAATGAACTAAAAAATTCAGTTGTTTTCAATATCTCTGGAGAATCAACAGAAAATAAAGATATTGAAAAGCCGTTAAAAGAACAAAAGATAAAAATGTTTGAAAAAGAACAAAAGATTTCTGAAAAATCAAAATCACAAGACAACAAACTTAAAAATACTTTAAGTATGAGATATTTATTAAACAATATTACTATTTATTAGACTATTTATTTTAAGACTATTTAGTTAAGACTATTTATTTTATAAAATAAAATTTTTTTTTAGAAAAGTTTAATGAGGAAGGATTGAAAGCTCATAATGCTCTTCGAAGTCTGCATGGTGTTCCTTTGTTACAAATTGATGCAGATTTATCTCAAAAAGCATATGAGTTAGCTGATTCAGTCGTCAGATCAGAAAACAGTGGAAAAAAAGATTCTATTTCACTAGATTTTGGATTTAGTGTCATGAAAAAGTGTTTTTTTGGAGCTAAAACGTTGTCAGCAGAAGAAGTAGTTTTAAATTGGTAGGTTCCATACAAAGTTGAACAAATTAGATAAGCTTTTTTACTAATTTATTATTGCTCTTTTTTTTAAGAACATTGAACACTTTATTTGTAGAATTCACTTACATGATTTATATATGTATATATATATATATATATATATATATATATATATATATATATATATATATATATATATATATATATATATATATATATATATATATTTATATGTATATATATATATATATATGTATATATATATATATATATATATATATATATATATATATATATATATATATATATATATATATTATATATATATATATATATATATATATATATATATATATATATATAGTAAAAAATGGCAAGCTTAACCAATTTTGAAAAAAGGCAAAAATTCATTATTTTTCGTTGTTTTTACATTTTTCTATTATTCTAACTTATAAAATCAAACTGATAAAAAAATCAATGCAATTTAAATAAATTTTCATGAATTATAATTCAAATCAAAAAGTTTTTATATTTAATGGTACAGTCCGCGCCATTTTGAAGGATCCTGATACATATTTGAAAACAAAATCCAACCAAAATGCTTCAAAATTAACCAGACGTGACAAACGTCACATACTAGAAGTGGCTTCAAACACCAGCTGTAGTGCCTGATTGATACACACCCAGCTGGATATTAATGTGTCATTGAGTACGATACATAGAATGTTACATGAAGCCAAACATCTGAGGTATACGAAGCATATTTCAACGCCGACGTTGCAGAAACATTACATGGAGATACATATGGCGTATGCAAGCAATCATTTGTCTTGTCCACCTGATTGGGGCTCAATTATTTAGTCTGATGAGGATAAATTTAATCTTTATGGTCCAGATGGATATCATTATTATTGGCATAACTTGCAAAAGAAGCAAGAGACTTTTTTGTCCAGACAACACCATTTTGTGTCATGATTTTGAGTGCATTTTTCAAAGCTAGATTATCTGAATTAAAGTTCTTTGAAGGAAAACAAACAGCTGAAGACTATATTATTACACTCTTTGTTTACTTAATACCATATGGGCAACTATGGACATACCTTTGTTTTTATGCAAGATAACACATCAATACATATGGCAAAGACCGTAATGAAATTTGTAACGAAACATGACATCCAGTTGTTTGATCATCCAGCTTTTTCCCCTGAATTGAATCCAATTAAAAACATTTGGGGTTACTTATCTTGTCACGTGTATGCAAACGGAAAACAATACAGTAATGTCATGTAACTGAAAATGGCCATCCAGATGGAATGGAACAAAATCCCCCAATGTTTGCTTGAGACGCTCATTTTATTGATGCCTATGCATTGCATTTAGGTTTTTATGAAGAAAGGTAAAAAGATTGACTATTAGGTTTCTACGTCTTAGTAATCTCTAAAACCTGCTGAAATGATGTGTGTGCTATTAGTTTGGCACATAATGTATTTTTCATTTTTTGTTTTTTACATGTTTTAAACAAAAACAAAGACAATATTTTCTTTTTTTGCATTTTATTTCTTGTGTTAAATTGTGTTAAATATGTATTAATTATTGTGTTAAACTTAAAATGTTCATACACCTATTTTTTTATTAAATTGTTGCATGTGCTGTTCGTTTGGTACGGACTGTATATAAGTAACATGCATCATTTATTATATTTTGAAATATTATATTATATTATATTGTTTTTGATATTTTGAAAGTCTATAAAACTGAAGCTCTACAACAATTTTATGAATAAAAGTTCTAAAAACAAATACCTCGTAATAATATTGTTGAAATTGTCTTATTAACAATCATTTTTCAGTTATTTGATTGTTAAAAAAAACTTGTGTGAAAAAAAAAACTGAGCATGGTCCTTCTAAAGGCTTGGGCATGGTCACAACCTTTATAAAACTGAAATCTTGTGATTATGATGCAATCGCTATTCTTCT